AAAAAGAAAAAAAAAAAAAAAAAAAAAAAAAAAAAAAAAAAAAAAAAAAAAAGCCCCCCCCCACCGCCGATACTAGCTCGCACTACATACACGTATGCTATTAATGTGTCTACAAATTTTAAGAAATGAAAATATACAAATAATTACAATTATCTATTTTTTTTAATAAGTACATTTTTTATTTATTTACAAAAATCGTAAAATATTTCTATATAATTTTCACAAACCAATAAAAATTTGAAAGAATAGATTATTAGATATCAATATTTGGACTCTGTTTAGTTTTTCCATGTTTTCTATATTATATTTATAGGTAAATTACATGCACCCATGACGTAAAACTAAATGTCTTACAAATCCCTATAATATTGGTAACTACGTATATCTACCTGAGCTATTTATTCATCTTACAATTACACCCTTATGGAGTTATGAATAATGAAATATTGAAAGTATCATAGAATATTTGTTATGAATTTTCAAATATACTCCAAGGTAGTAAATGTAATATATCCAAAGGGGGTAAATGTAAATTTTTGTTTTACTGCATGGGTACCTGCAATTTACCCGTTGTTTGTTTGTTTAATAAAAATGTAATTTAGATAATTCATTCATTCCGTTAAGGTCCATAACATGTTGTTACTTTTAGGGGTATTTGTAATTAACAATGCCACATGTTTTTTTTAGACCATTTTTTATGTTTTTCTTTATATTATTTACCTCTATGTAATGGTAGTAGCAAAAACCAATTGAAATATTCACTTCATCGACCAATTTATTTTTGTCCATTTATTTATTGTATATAGAAGTAATTAATATTAATATTAGTATTAGTGTTAGGATTATGATTAGGATTACGATTTCGATTACGATTTCAATTAGATATAATTATAATTAGTATTAGGATTATGATTAGATTTATTATTAGTATTCGGATTAGGCTACAGGATTATGATTAATATTATAATTAGGATTGGGATTAACATTAGCATTAGCATTAGCATTAGTATATTATAATTATCATTAGCATTAGTATTAGTATATTATAATTATCATTAGCATTAGCATTAGCATGTTATGATTATATGATTCACATTAGCATTAGCAGTATGAATAGGATTAGCCTTACGATTCTGATTAGAATTAGAATTAACATTAGCATTAGGA